TTCTTAGAATCATTTAACTTTTCGGAAACTACTTCGCTGTCTCCATATCGAAGTTCCAAGTACAGCGAAGTAGTTTCTGAAAAGGTAGGTGATTCTTAGAATGAGATCGAAGAAACGAGAAAATTTTTAGGTGTCCCAGAATTTATGAAAACAGCTGTAATAATAGCTGTAAAATCGATTCCGAAACAGCCGTAACTAGTTTTTATCGTGATTGATTTGATTGACCAATCAAATTATTTAAATTATTTGGATTGATTATCGTTATTACTTCCCAAGATCTTGAACTTGTATCGACTCAACATGGAAAAATGGTTTCGTCTATCAGCTACCTCTATCTTTCTTAGGATTTCTTTCACCAGAGATTCTGTCTTTCGTCAGGGGTTTCGTCTCTCGTCAAGGGTCCCGTCTTTTACCGGGGGACTTGCCTTTCGCAGGGGTTTCGTCCTTTCGTCGGAGGGTTTCGTCAGTCGTCTTTCTCCAGTTTTAAGTTTCTTTTTTCGTCATCCAAGAAAAGTTTTACTTAACAACTATAATTCAGCTTCAGAAAATTTAAATTCGAACTCTCGTTTTACTATCAGGTTCAATTTTTATTCTTATAAAACCATCTGCTTATGTTAATTGAAAAGATTAATAATGTTTTTCCCTGTCGCAACGAACAGTGATTTATCTGATTCAAATTATCGTCAAATATCAGATGCAACGATGGAACACTTATTGGAATTCCTTGAAAACTTAAATGATCAATTAGATATTGATGGTTTCGATGTTGAATATTCGGTGAGTCAATGCAAAATGGTTCGTTAAATTGTCTTAATATTTGTTTGAGGATATCATTTTCTCGGTGAACATCCTTCTACCGGTTTAATTTTTTTATCAATTTCTACAATTTCTATTTAATATATGGCACTAGAGTGGTGTTCTAACTCTTAAATGTGGATCAAAAGGTACTTATGTAATTAACAAACAACCTCCCAATAAACAAATCTGGTTGTCCTCTCCGATAAGGTTAGTTACGTTTTTTTTACCTATTTTTCATCGGTTATTTTATTTTTAAATTAGGTTATTCGAATATATTAGTGGTCCAAAACGATACGACTACGATCTTGTGCACAAAAAATGGTTTTATCATCGAGACAACACGACATTAGATGAATTATTAAATAATGAATTATCAACAATATTCAGTACTAAAATAGATGTATCACAAACAATAAGTTGAGAGTATATATACAAGTATCCTCTTTATAGTGAAGGAATTAGACTAAAAAAAATATTCACTATATCTTATATCAAGAAAATATTATTATATAGAACTGAATTTCAATAATACTGTAACTCATATCGGATCTTCACTATATCGAGAGTGATTCGTATATTAGTCAGCTACTGAGTGATTGCAAAGTAATATTCAACAAAATTCATAATATGAGATATACGAGTAGCGCATATTATACCGGCATACCTGTGGATTGTGTTAAATTTAGATATAAACTTGCGGAATTTTGACGTACATTTGCTATGATAAATGGAGTGGATTTTTACAATTTAAGTTATAGTCGCGCCTTAGCTCGGGTTTATTCTGGCTTTAGATCAGCTAGCCACAAAATGGCTTGGTTCAAAATAGCTTGGTTTAGTCGTTGTGGGCGTTAACCGGTTGGTACCAAGCCTGCATATCTACCCAGACAATAAGGCTGATAAATAGTTTTTTGATTTAGGCTTTTGTATTTCTGATATATATATAGTATATTTTCAAATATTAAAAAAATTTTGTAAAGTATTATTCAATTAATATTTATAAATCTATTTTTTAAAATTTTTGAGATATTTATTCATTGCAAACAATTTAGTTTTGACAATAAATTCGATTAATTTTAAAATACTAATTCTTGGTTATAAAAACAATAAATAAAAAAATTTTTTTTTAATATTAAAAGTTAAAAAATTTTTTTATAAAATATATATTAAACTAAATATTTTAGTGGGTTTAAAATTTTTTTTTGAAATTATTGTAGATATACTCAAGTAAAAACGCCCAGGATTTCCGAAAACCTTATAAAAAACCTTATATTTAATATACAGTATTATTATATTATATAAAAAAAAAAAAAAACCCTAAAATTGCTCTTTAACTCTAAGAATATATTAATATCAACAACACCTAGGGATGGCAAAGTCAGTCTAGGTCTGGTCTTGGTCCTAGGACTTGTAAGTCCTGCTACACGGACCTTCAGACCAGGTCCTCATATAATAAGTCCTAGAGCTT